TATAACAACCTTGACTCCATCGAAGTGTAAGGTCTTCACGTAGGACATGCTAGGGGCTGCTCCATCGCTCACCATCTCGCTTCACTCATTGGAAGTGAAAAATAAATTAGTTTACATCAGAAGCCGCTTCGGCGTTAACATTTAACGCATGATGTTTTTTGAGCCTCTTTAAGGCACGGGTTGTCTTTGTTAACTTCCGCCATCTCTGGACTCGACGTGACCTCAGCCGGCTACACTGCTAGTGTTTTCCTGTCCTATTTCTGCGAGACAGGCTGTTCGCGCAAAATATATTCAGAGGATGTTTGTTTTTGATCACAACTGATTTCGGAGCGTTGATGGTGTACGATGACAGTCCGACATTAGTAATGACAATATCCTCGAATCATCTTCAAATCAGACAGACTCTGCCATCCGATGAGCTGCAAAATCTCACTGCACAGGCTACGGTGGCTTGGGCACGTACTTCGCATGCAAAGTCAGCGTTAGCCCCACCGTGAATTCTTTGCGTGCGGTGTCGCCTGGAATCAGAAGCAAGGTAGATAACTGATGACTTGGGCCCAAAGTATGAAGGAACAAGCTTTAAAGTTAGATGTGATCGGGCGCTCTCGACTCCCTGGTTCGGAGCGCAAAGACTACGGACACGCCCAACTGGAAACACTCTCACACATGGCAAGATATCACACGTAATGCCGGATAAGTTGTGAGGCCCTACCACATGGTTTGACAATTTCTTTGGTTTGTGCTTTTCTCAGCTTACTGTATCTAGCCATATGTGGTGATAGTTTGCCAATCGCACTACTATTGACCAAGTGTTTATATATATATATATATATATATATATATATATATAGTCGATTCCGGTTAATAGGACCACATCGGGACCAGACCATTTTGGTCCTATTAAGCGGCTGGTCCGATTAACCAAAGTTACCCGATGTAACAAGATGGGACGTGCTATACATAACATAAGAAACTACTATTATGACCTGTATTGACGGCACATATATTTATAGCAAACACAAAATAGAACTGCTTTGAGAACGAACTTTGTTCACTGAAAAAGAAATTTACAAACAAATTCTCCGTAACGACCTACAGGACATTCAGCATGCGAAGTACAGTTTTATACAAAGGGATTACCGAGTTCCATTCAGCGTTTGAAGACGCTATCCAGTGTGGTTTGACGCATTCTTTTAACAGACTGCATTCGCACAAAATCACCACAAACATGTAACGCAGTAATAGGACTACCTTCATTTCCTTCCTGCATGAAATAGCGGTGCAATGTTTCAATGCATTTCCTTGCATCCTGTTTTGTGACTGGCATCAACACGTTAGGGTTCTCTTCATCACTTCCATGGTCTTCTCTCGCTGTCATGTGTTTCGCTGCTATTCGAGCAACAATGGCAGCATCGCATTCTTCATTACCATCATAGAGTTGAAGTTCGTTGTCGATTGACAAAATTCTTCCTACTTTTCAACTTGTTTCAGCTCCACATTCTCGCAGTCATTTTCATTTATAATCACCATATCCACATCCATCTCCGAGACAATATGCTTAAAGCAACAGTGAGAAAAACAGTTCCGAATTGTCGCACTGCTCATTTTTCGCCAACTTTCGGCCACGAATGTAACGGCTTGTAAAATGTTGACCTTTGCACTGATTTCTCCGGCCGTCGAGGATGAGGTCAGCAAGCCTTCCTCAATTGATTCAATGATGTAATTCACCAACCTTGAACGATAAAAGGTCTTCAAACTTTTTATGATGCCCATGTCCATTGCCTGTATCAAAGATGTGGTCTTGGGAGGCAGAAATTCCATCTGGATATTCTTCAAGAAATCCAAATTTGAATGTGCTGTACAATTGTCGAGAAGTAATAACACTTTTCTCGACTGGTGTTGTAGCTCTGTGTCCCAATCCTTCACCCATTCTTTAGAAAGTGTAGAGCTCATCCATGCATTTCCGTTTGCACCATACACATCTGGTAAAATGTCCATTCTGAGTCCCTTAAAGCAGCGAGGCTTGGCACATTTTCCTGTAACCAACAACTTCCTCTTGTCTGTTCCGGACATGTTTGAGCAGCACAAGACAGTTACGCGATCGATTGCTTTTTGCAGCCAGAGAGAGTAACATGTTTGTAACTTAAGGAGCCGTCCGGTGTAGCCCTATAGTACAACCCGGTTTCATCAGTATTAGAGATGACATCTGTTGGAAATTTTTCAAGAAGCTCTGGTAGTTTTGTTGATTTCCATTCTTCAGCCCGAGCGCTATTGGCACTTTCTTTCTCATCATGTGCTTTCTTAAATTTTACATTACGTCTAAATTTCCATCGAGACAACTAGCCGTCCGTAGCTATAAAATCTTCGTGGCCCAGCATTTTAGCAAGTTCTTCTGCTTTGTACTTTAACATTGGGCCACTTACTCGCACGGCTCGTTCAGTAACAAAGGCAAACCAATCATTAAGGGCTTCATCGACGTCTGGATCCTTGCCTTCACGCTTCCGTTTTTGGGAAGTACCTCGTCGTCCTTCACATTTTACCCATTCTTCTCGCAGATCTTTCTCTTGTTTTATCAGGCGCGATATTGCAGATTTTGCCAAGCAGGTAATTTCCACCAATCGACGCTGACTAGTTGTTGGTCCCTGTTCCTTGATCTGATTTAGGAAACGAATCTTCTTGGCTAACGTCAAGTCCCGTCGTGGCATTTTCTTAACATGCAACAAGACACGCACAATTCACTGAGGTGAACTCGAGTCTGTCTCCCGGGTATTTCTATGGTTGACCTAGCCACCTGCTGTCCTATGGTTTGCCGGACCTATGTGTCCGCGATCACTTGCCGTGCTCGATAGTAGGCCCGCAATGCGGGCTCAAGGCATTAGGCTCAATGGACGTGCGGTACATCGATCGAGCGGTTAAAAAGCAGGTATGTCTTCGCTCTGCCTAAAAGTGTTGGAAGCTACAGTCAGTTTCGGGCAGTTCTGAAGCCAATTACATAGATGTGCCTCAAGGTTGCCACAGTTCAGTTTATCCAAAGGCCAACTCGGATTACCGTAACTGAATGATACGCTTCCTTGCCCGACATATGAACTGTGGGTTTAGTCCAGACATCCAGGCACAGAACTTGATTTTAACACCTCTGTTACTTGTCACCTTCTATCGTCTGGTCCGATTAAGCGGAATTCCGGTCCTAATAAGCGGCTAAAATTAGGCTAGCGTAATAGGATTCGTTTCGGTTCTTCAGAATTTGGCCCGAATAAGCGGCTGGTCCTATTAACCGGTGGCCCCATTAACCGGAATCCACTGTATATGGTTGGCGGCATACAGTTTCGGATTTGTCTGTCACTGTGGCCAGCCACAGGACGCCTGCGCCTACAGAGGGACCATGGATGGCGGTAACAGCTTGCCAAAGCGTTCTGATATGTACGTATTTCTGGGGCGCACCTTTACTGAATAGACAACCCCAAGGGGTACATCGATTATCCGAATCGAAAGCATCTTTGACGTCAAGAAACACGACTACTGTGGATCACCAATAAACGCGGCGATGCTCCAAGTGATGTGAAGATGTGATCAATACAGCCGCGACTTTGACGAAACCCGACTTGATGCTTACGAATCTGGCTTCCATGGATGCGAGCTATAAATGTCGACAGGGGTAAGTAACTTAAAAGCAACTGAGAGCAGACTGATCCCTCTATAATTGCTGCAGTCCAAATTTGAGCTTCGATTGGAAATTGGGGCAATGGCGGAGCGGTTCCAGTATTATGGGATAGTCTCCTGCTCCCACAGCTTCCAAAGTCTCAGGGTACTCGATTCGTTTGGTAATTGACTAGAAATATGAGATTATTGATCCTGCCGTGGTGTTTGGCGTCGAAACAGCTCCGACTTTTGTTGGCTGCATCCATAGGAGCAGTAGAGTTGTGTTCGCCAAGGAGTCAGGCAGAAATAATGTACGCTAGACCAATGAACGTCAGCACTAGGACCATCTTTTGTGTGGCAATACAAAGAGGCTGCGAATGTGGCTAGATTGAGGCAATGCCTTCAGTTGATCATCAATGCAGTACCAGTCAAAAAAGATGCGAACTAAAGAATTCACCCGACTTATACTTTAAAGAATAAATGAAAGTTGTATTGTTGCGTCGCTCCTATGCAGCCGTAAGCGGCTGTACGCGGGTTGGGACACTGCCGGTGTGCTCAAAACCGTGCGGGAGTGAGGACTCGAATCAATCTTGATGCACTTCATTTATTGTGGTTGACTCAGGGAAAAGTTTCCAGTACACCGTTAGATGGTTCCGATGCGAAACCTTCATATCAATGTTATATAAAAAGAGAGTATTCAAGATGATAACAACAGGAGGAGCCAAATGACAATCCTAACCAATAAGCGAAGAAGCCTTGAACCCACCCAGTCAACGTGGAGGACGAAAAATAATTCGAACGCTACACTCGTGTAATGGGAGAATGAAATGCCGAGAATGCAGTAATTGTGGAATGTCCACAAGTGCCTGTAAAGTAGCTCGAGATAAATACGCTGCACATACAACACGATGAGAAAAGGTAACTCAAGCAGTAAGTCATCGAAATCAGCAGGCAGTAAAGGAAGGAGTCTGTGATGAAGCTAAAAGAAGGTGAGACGCGTGATACCAAGGTAAAAAAGACGCTATGAAAAATGAACCATGTGTTTGTATGCTTGATAGTGGTGGCAGAAAAATGATGATGAAACCAGCAAAGGTGTGAATAACCGGAAAATGAAAGATTTCGAGCAGGCGCATAAACAGTATTGTCATCATTTAGGGAGCGCTGCGCACGTGAATGTGACGAGTTGGCGATGTATAGGCAACAGCAGGGCATTGCATGAGTATCCTGTTCGTGTTTACAGGGGGCAAAACAGCGGTTAGATTGCGTCGGAAATTTCGCCTTTAAGCAAAGTGATCAAAGCAACTTCGAGAATTTAGCGGGTTCGAGTAAGTTGAACGGAAAGTGAAGTTCGCGTGACTTACCATCGCATTGACCGTGTCAATGGCGCGCCAAAGATGCGTAGCTTGAAATCCTGTTGAAATGTATGACCGTAGAAGCGCGTCGTAATTTACCCCGCAATTGAAATCATACCCCCGAACATGTTCCTTCACACCGTCTGGAATGACCTCGGTGGATTTCAGTACGTATTCTTCGAAACGCCGATCGGTATCCAGCGCGGCATGAAAAGTGTGGTTGACACACGAAGAAGGGTCGTTCGGGTCCTAACAAAGAGAGGTAGTTAAATGTTCATTGATTCCACATTTACGTGACATTGGCCATGTCTTGAAGTAGACTAGCTCTGAATCGCTCGTAAGAGGCTGCAGCAACAGACTGCGGTTTGTTGCGATGTGTTAACCAAAAAATAGTCTTAATGGAGTCGTTTCAGTGTATGAATTTTAATTTTTGGGTGACGGATTCCAGCATGTGTGGGAGACCTCGCAGCATCCGAACCACTGCTCCGCGCGTGACATCGAGATGCCGATACGAAGTGTCTGAATGCTATAAATACCCCTCATGTCAGACAGTCAGTGAAGCACATGGCACGCCGTGCACATATTGAGAAAGACAAACCGCATCTGCTTTATGTTCACCCATGTGATACACCGCATCCTGGCTGATTCGGTCTCAAAACAACACAGGCTGCGGGGTTTGAATTCCAATAATGCGAATGGCGTTCTGAAACGCTGGACAAAAGTCAAAAAGCATAAGCTGAGAAAAGGAATCCTAAAAATCCAGATCTACCGAAGTATATGTATTTTTAGTGTGTGCAAATAGATACTTCAAGGGCCAGGAACACATGGCCGCTGAAAGCTGAAGCAAAAGGCAGCACTACTGGCGCGGGAAGATTATCCAATCCAAGCTGTGTATGAACATATTAGATCAGAAGGATATAAATGATTTCAATTACTCAAATATGATCCAAACACTGAAGCGCGATGGATCAGGTTGTCCCGACCAGCATCGTTCAACCGTAGCAAGGGTAATGAAATAGACATGGACCAACACACAAAGGATTTAAATTATTTTAGAGATAGTGTTAAAAGCGAAGCATCTAAAGTCCATATACGAGCGTCAACAACGTTAGCATGCCGAAAAGAGTCTTCAACGACCCATTTCGTTAACATCGGGATAACGATCCGGAAGAATAAGACGCGGTAGAAGAAGTGGTAATGAACCACATCGCCGAGTGAGAAATCAGGTGGAAGGGAATAAGATACAAAGCACTGCGTTGTGAAAGGTATAACAGCTGGAAGTAATCAACCAAGTATAGGAGTGGCACCGGCATAGTAAGTGTGTGATGGCGGGAAAGCACGCTAACCATTGGCTTTGTTATGTCGCCAGCCGACTGCTCACGCACGCATGACCGCAGGAAAAACACGAAGATGAGCCAGGACCGAGTTCCTTTACATGAGAAATCTGTTCATTTAAATAGGGTACAGCAGTAGTTGAAGCCAGGCTACTAAAACACGTTGGAGCCAACCACCAACATAGGAGACACTGAATAATGCAGGCGAATAAGAAGTGGTAAACGTAAGAAGCAATCCGGCGAGTTCGAAGAAATGGCATTAGTGGAAAGAGACGCATGAGATGATATCCATTTCGAACGACGTGGGCCGGCCAATCAAATCGAAGGACTGATGCGTTTAAACAAATGTCAAGTAACCAACCGTAGCGAAACACAAGCAGGTAAATGAGATTTGTAGGAAAAAAGAAATGCCACTTATCAATCTCCTAACACCCCCCTCTTCTAAAAGAAATGAGTTTATCAGGGGAGATTTTAGCTCTTCGAACGGCAGGATCCACCTGGGTTCACGTGCATCCACGACCAAGATGTTTCGGGCTCAGGCCAAGTGTGTAATATCGTTCTTTCAAGTAAGTTGTCGACACAGAAGTATTCGGAACATGTATCTCCATTTTTGCAAGACGTGACATGATTTCGCGAATCAATGGGCAAATAGAGCTTCTGAATTTCTTCCACTCCGGAAAGAGGAACGTCCGTACTTCTGGCTAGGTAAATGGATTCCAGGAGTTGCAGTTCCTTGAGTTTTTGGATATCTTAGGAAATATTTGGAACCGATCAAGAAGCCATCATTTTAAAAGGTTTGGCAAACGACCGGTTAGTGTATTTGTTATACTGTAAAACGTTGTACAGTATAACTAATACACTAACCAGTCGTTTGCCAATCCTTGAGTCTTTGTACACCGGCGATTACTGTGTCTGACTGTAACAGTACTCCTGGTATATTTGGTGCCATGAGTTTTGTTAATTTGACAGACGACTTGTCAAGCTTTGTAATTGTCGATCGAGAAACGATCGTGATAGCAGACACTGTTTGTGGTTGTAGTAACCCCGGAACATAATCGCGTTTCACTGTCAAGTGTCTTCTCTTCCCTGAAAATTTTGATACATTGTGAAACCCGATCCTTTTCAGTTTGCAGCATGCCTGCACCCTTGGAGTACGCACGCGCCTGAAGTTGCGTGCTTCTCAATAATGAGGATATTGGTAGACCCGAACTCTTGCAGAATGTTTCGCACCACCGTTCCAAGATGCAGTCGAGGGCTTTCGGTCCGGCACATCTCGACTCACATTTTGGTCACAAATAGCCGTATGATAGGAGTGGGGTTCTTTTATAGGCTCTGAAGATTTAATCATTTCTGGGTCATGATTCAAAAAGAGCAGCTTGTGACAATTAGACACAATTTACTGTGAAGTCAACCTGGGTTCAGATTCCAAATTCACTAGGACGTTCAGCTTTTCTGATAGCAACTGAAATAACAGTCTTGTGACTTTTCAAACTGAATCTGCCGTTGCTGAAAGAGGGACTGCATCTGCTCGAATGAAATCGTCATGTTTGTTCAACACCTCCGGTCGCCAGAGGCTGTTGTGTCGCAGCTGACGCCTTCACCCCACGACCGCAAGAACTCCAAAGACGTGCCGGGAAAGTATTGTATGCATGGAATCATGACAGTTGAAATAGTTTTAAGAATGGTCTGAAAGAAAGCGACTAAAAGACACTTTAACCAACCATACTGCTAAAAGCACGCAAGCAAAATGAAGCCAATGAAGAGTGATCAACAAAGGAACCAAAAAGAGACATGCACGAATGAAAAGAGAGAGCGTTAGCAGCCAGGTGGAACTGCGATCCGAGGGCAAAAACAGTGACCACAAGCAGCCAATAAAATTAGCGGAATGATGTATTTAAACAAATGTATTAACAGCGACAGCTGAAGAAACCAAACAGGGCAACTAAGAATCGTCAATATAGAAGAAAACGAAATCGAACCCGCGAATGACCTGATCCATAAAACGCTGCTGTATGTGCAATACCTTTCTCCATAACAGGCTTGGCTGAGCACGTAAGGTGAGGAAGCATGGACCGACCCGATTAGATTCATGCGTGTGCAGGAAGAGTGAGTGATTTGCGCAGCACCATTATAGCACGCAGTAGGCTCGGATGGCCGGCCCATGTGTTGCGACGCCAGCACACTGACTCCCGCGACATGAGTTGTTGGCGCGCCCGCAGTCTGAATGGAATAGGAGATGAGGCCAGACAAAGACTTGGCCACAAGGAATAAAAAACCCTCAACTCCAAGTCGGTGCATCCCGACATCGGAGTTGCGTTCAGAAGAATGGTGAACAAGTCTGGTTGGACATATATGCTAAAATATCCAGGAGGCGGCTCCCATGGCGTTCGTGCTCCTCTCATTTACATTCAATTTCCTATCGCAATCCGAAAGCAAATTAAAAAATCTCAGGAATAGACATCAGAAAAAATGTTAGCGAACAAGCTCGCTTTCAGTGGTTACCAATCACGCTAATGCACTACAAATGAATGACCTGAACGTAAAAATCAGATAAAGGTACGGGTTCAAAACGCAGGTGGCCTAAGTGATCAAGCTAGGTGATTAGCCCCACGACGATCAAGAGTGTGTTGCTGTGTGCCGCGTTCCCACAATATGGTTCCGGGTTACAGGGAGTAGCGTAGAGTTAGTGCATGAACACATTCCTTGTGCGCACATAGGTCAGGGTCATGCAGCTTGTCCCTCTGTCTGCAGATCTTCCCATCAAACAGGAATCGCACGTTCCTGGTACACATCAGAAGAAGTCGCTCGTTGGAGAGGTCGACATCCACATGGTGTAATCGAACAGCATAGCATATGTAGTCTATTGTCTCCTCCGGCGGAACATTGGTGAAGGGTGACACTACATCTAGAGAAAACATTTTCATTCCGGTTAACTGCATATGACTTATGAAGTCTACGAAGCTGAATGTATCTCTGGGGCTGTGTTTGGATATGACTTTTCTGCTCGGTTTTAGAGGCTTAGAGAGCCATTTCGTTGTTGACTGATAGGGAGAATCACATATGTCTACTATTGGCCTCAATGGAAGTCCTTCTTTATGCACTTCCGGTAAGCCATAAAGACGTGAAATCACTGTCCCGGAGAGACGGGTGTACTCGAACACCACTGAGTCAATCAAATTCTCTTGCTTCAAGCAGCGCTGGACAGACCCGTCATTTCTTCGGATAACCTGAACTTCTAAGTACGATATCGAGTTGTTGCACTCAGATTCAAGGGGGTATTTCACGTTTGCACAAGAACTTTTTGCAGGCACTAACTCTACCCTGGTGCCCTGTAACACGGACACATTGTGTGGACAACGCCACGAACACACTTTTGATCGCCGTGGGGCCAATCACCTAGCTTGGTAACTCAGACCATCTGGATTTTGAACCTGTATCCTTTTCTGATGTTTACGTTCATGTCATTCATTTATGGTGTATTAGCCTGATGAGGAACTACTGAAAATGAGCTTGTTCGCTGACATTTGTTCTTATGTCTACTCCCGGGATATTTTATCAGTTAAAACAGAACAAGGATCCCACTGTGCTTAGAGGGCTTTACCAGTACGTTAAGTTACGCATAAAACTTGCGGTAGCGAATGCGAGACATCAGTTCTTTGATGAGTGTATTTTGTGTTGTGAATCTCCGAATCATTTCTGAAAAATACTCGGACGGAATAGTATTAATCCTACTACTACTGCACTGAAGCGTAATAAATGAAACGAACATGACGCGGTTGCCACTAGGCTTGATGATTTGTAGCGTAATCAGTGCGTTTACTCTCTCATGCTTGGTCATCTGGATACGGAGGAAGTCACGCGATTCGAAGCATTTGTTCAATGTGTAGTCACAAAGCAAGTTAACGGACGACTAAT